AATTGATGTCTATGAGCATACCAAGGAAATTCCTATTGTGTTCTTACTTTGGGTATTATTCATTCTCAGTTCCATTTGATTGGTTAATTTATTTCCCAATGATAGGTAATATTGTTTCCTCAATGTTAAGGGCGAGTTTGTTGGTAATCAACCACAAGTTAACTTTCTTGAATTCAGTATTTACTGTCAACTAGGATAACTAGATTACTGTTTGAGAAATTGAAAATTGTCATTAGCAAATACTGTACTGTAGTATTGGCTTAAGATATTCAGTGGCATCTGGTAGATAACTGATGTTTATGAGAAACAAGAGTGGACCAAGTATACTACCCTGTGGAATACTGTATGTAAGTCCATATACTGTACTAACAGGGGTCAAGGACCCCCGTTATCAACGCAAGGTAACCCGCAAGGTAAGGCAAGGTACCCCAGACCACCTACCCCTGCAAAGTTGGGAGAGGCAAGCCACAGGCATCTGGCCTCCAACTGTGGACAAACACAGACACACACACTTTCTCTTACTGTATATAAGGACGTGGGTAACCTGTGGTGCCCAGGATAGTCTCTCTCTCCCTTTACCTCCATTCCACCCATTCTTTTCCCCCTTTCCCATATCCTCCCTCTTCCTTCCTAACCCCCTTTTCCACCTGTCTGCACCCAAGTCTGCACCTTTCTTCTCCATCGTCGCCTTCTTCCATCTCTTTCCCTCTATCTCCACCTTCCCCTCTCCTACTACCCTACTCCCCTCTCCCTTCCAACTGCAGTCAGACAGTTATTTCTATTTATTTATATAGAAGGGGTATCTGGCTGCATCCAGGAATCTTCCCCTCTTTCCACCCTCTTTACTCATCCCCATCTCATTGGTCACACCCATAATCCCTCACCTTGTCATCCCCCCTCTTCCTCCTCCCTTCCCCCAGCATTCCTTTCCCCTCTCCCCCTTCTCACCAAAAATTGATTATCAAGCAGCATTGACGGAACTCTATGGTTCTCTCAAAAAAAAATATTTTATAATTACTAAAAACTCTCAGGGACTCGCCAAATATTTCACACTCCATAAAAATTGCATGGGGGGCCTTTACCTGCCAAACACAACGAAACTATGATGTTGCTACAATGTTTGAACAAGCTGTAACAACTATCTAACAAGCTGTAACAACTGCTTGATACCTGCTTGATGGTGTTCTGGGAGTTCTTCTACTCCTCAAGCCTGGTCCGAGGCCAGGCTTGACTTGTGAGTTTGGTCCACCAGGCTGTTGCTTGGAGCGGCCCACAGGCTCACATACCCACCACAGCCCGGTTGGTCCGGCACTTTTTTTTTAGAAAACAATCTAGTTTTCTCTTAAAGCTGTCAACGGTTGTTCCGGCCATATTTCTTATAGTCGCTGGGAGGACGTTGAACAACCGCAGATCTCTGATGATTATACAGTGTTCTCTGACTGTGCCTATGGCACCTCTGCTCTCCACTGGTTCTATTCTGCATTTTCTTCCATATTGTTCACTCCAGTACGTTGTTATTTTACTGTGTAGATTTGGGACCTGTCCCTCCAGTATTTTCCATGTGTACATTATTTGGTATCTCTCTCGTCTCCTTTCTAGAGAGTACATTTGGAGAGCGTCGAGACAATCCCAATAATTTAGGTGCTTTATCGCATCTATGCGTACCGTATATGTTCTCTGTATTCCCTCTATTTCAGCAATCTCTCCTGCTCTGTAGGGGCAAGAGAGATTCAACTTCAACTATCTAACAAGCTGTAACAACTATCTAACAAGCTGTAACAACTATCTAACAAGCTGTAACAACTATCTAACAAGCTGTAACAACTATCTAACAAGCTGTAACAACTATCTAACAAGCTGTAACAACTATCTAACAAGTTGTAACACATAAAAAAAAACTTTAATGATGTAACAACTTTGTAACAATAGGGACCCGTTACATTGTGCTTGCAGGATATAAATGCTACTATTTCTTAAAGCATTTAACTTAGGCCTACCCTAACCAGTGTATGTCTGTCTAATATCAAAGAATACCTAATCAACCAGGCTACAATTTGTCAGGCTGTGAGGAACCGCGTCAAACAGCCTGGTTGGTCAGATGACCAACCAGGAGGCCTGGTCAAAGACCGGGCCGCAGGGCCGACGATCCCCAGAAGGTACACAAAGTAGGTAGGTACCCCCCAGGCCTCGACCTGGCCTGGGGATACCTACCTACTTGGTCGAGGACCAGGCCGCAGGGACACTAAGCCCAGAAATCATCGCAACCTCAAACCATTCCACCGTACAAAGTTGCTTGGGGCTAACCCCAAGTGTCTGGCCTCCAATTTGGACAGAAACACACAATCTCTCTTCAAGCAAAGACATGTGGAACAGCCTTTTAAAAATTAATTAGACTGATTTAACATAGATAGTTTTAATAAATATCTTGGCACATTTCTTAGCCTCTGTCTACCATCATGCCCATAGTAATACTGTAATATGAGGCAGCAGGACTACTTTAATAAAATACAAATGTATATTTGAACCTGATACTGTACAACTATTTGAGCAAGCTTAACAGATCTTAATTGTTTGGCAAACATCTTGGTAGCCTAGAGATTTTAAAGTTTTACTTCTGAACTAGGCCAAATGTAGTGTAATAGGCAAGGCGAGATTAGACAAAATGAGTACACGCGGATAACTTTTGTCCTCACTGGTGCTCACAATTTCTTTAAGCGGACCGTTCCCAACTTTACTTCTAAACCTGTCATCAGATCTATATTTATTTGAAATTTACTAATGGTAGCACAAGTGAGCTTAATAGAACCACTGAAACTCAACACAACTAACAAAAATTCTAACTTTTCCCCAACACTTCACTCCCCCCTCCTAGATCTGATGTGGCATATTTTTAAGAAAGTATTGACAGTCATTTGTTTGGAATCATTGGAAAGAACAGAGCTTTATAAACTGTACAAAGTTAATTCAATATACTTTTCTTCAAGTTCATCATTCAAAAGTTTAAAATGTTAAGTTCAAAATGTACCTAAAAGAACTCTCCTATGGTAATAAAAATACAAAGATAGAAGAAAGCTGATATAGTCCCCTTAAATAACACTACAAAGCCCAAATGTTTGGCCCAAAATTATCATTGCGGTAACTGCATAATCTACCAAATAATGTGACATAACCTGTTGATACAAAATTTGACAAGACTATTCCAAACTGATCTTTAATAGTTACATGATTGCTCACAAAAGTTATGAACATGAAATTAACAATAAAATGGAAATCAATTTCTTGATGACCAGATCTTTAGGAGTAGAGAGCTGCCTCCCATTACAGTACACTGCTCCAGTAACAAGCGTTTAATTATAGTCTGGAAAGAGTACAAAAGATAATGACTTTAAATGAAAAGCATTAATGTATTCTCGAGTCCATTGGATAATGTCTGCACTCATTAACTGAACAATAAATATTTATCTACTCTCACAAGGGTAGATATAGCAACACTCATTTAATTATCTATCTACCTATACCCCCCACCACCACCTTACTCCCTCACTTAAGCTTCTCTCAGCACAAGTTGAAGACTATTACACAAACTTGTGGACTCATTAGACTACAGAAAAACAATGGTCACTGCTCTGCCCACTTAGGCTAGCTATATCAGGCCATCCCCCAATACGACAATTTGTTGACATGCCAAGGAAAGAGCATTTTCTTTGGAATTTTAATTAAATAACAATTCGATAACTATCTGAACTACTTCAAAGAGCATCTCATATCCTACATATGACAAAAATATAAAGATTAAATCTCCAATAATTTTTATAGTATCCTGCTAACTGCAGGATAATTTATACTGCAAATAATTTATTTCTATAAACATTTTCTGGAAGAGTTGGTAATATCCTAGTGACTGAAGTATCAAGCCCAAAAATTCAAATTCGCTGTAATATTGAGAAAAAATGTTTACATCAACACCTCACTGAGCATTCCGTACTTGCCACAAATCTCCTGATTCGCCACTAAATGCATTTCCACGAGTAAAGGTCAAAATGGTAAAAAGATAAGATAAACCACATCACAATCTTGACAATACACTACAGATACATCAATGACATCACACGTGCATCGTGGTGGCCACAACTTAGCCTTAACTAGTCTTCACATGACCCCCACAGGTCAGCAGGTCACACTACCACTTGTCAACGCTAGTTTTTGGTCAAACATAAGAGGCACAAGGCTCCATTGAACCTTTATTTTCTCTGAAACATTACCACACTAAATGTTCTCAATTTAGCGTCCATAATATCTTCAGCCCATTTCACGAAATATCACATCACTCTTAATTAATGTAGCGTCTCGAAGTTGAGAAATTCGCACGCGTGCCAAACCACGCGCACCGAAACAGTCACGTCGTGTAGAAGGAACACACGTTTCACCATTTCCAGAACTTGTATACACGAAGTTTTATTTTGCTTTTCAGTCAGATAAACTTGGAAACACTGCAAGTATTATTTGTAAACACACACACAACTAAATCACTGATCACTGACATTTTTCTGTGTTTGGGTTTGTCTTCCACTGCAATTACATATGGTATTCCATCCTTGAAAAATGTCACACATAAACTATTATGAAACATTTCCTTCACTGCATCTGTGAACTGACACTTGGCAAGATTACACGAAACACAACACAGGCAGATGAGAGAGAGTAAGAGGATGACAGACAGACGTGGAGGAGATCAAGAGAGATGAGCAAGTGAGAGAGACATGAGAGGTGTGAGAGGGAGAGAGAGAGAGAGAGAGAGGGGATGACCAACGGCAAGGCAGACAAGGTCCAGCAGACTGAGGCACGGGCATGACTGGCTGCCACAGCCACACAGCGTTGCCCCCACAGCGCCCTGCCTGCCACCCCCTCAAGGCCGCCACCACCACCACCATCCCCCGCGCCCTCCTCCAACATGCAACACATGCACCACCAACACCCGCCACGCCACCCCCACCACAAACCTGGCCGACTGGTGAAATGTGGTGTGCGGGGCGAGGCTGGCCACGAGCTGGAAGGAGTGTGTGGGGCTGGAATGAGTCATTCACCGTCTGGGTTATGCTCCAGCGCCCCCCACCACCACCACACACTACCACCACTCACACTACTAATTAACTTCCTTAATTGACGCCTTCTCCGCCTCTTGCCCACCTCTGCCTCTTACCCACAACCCGCCCCGCTCATACACATCAACTTTAGAGAGGTTTATAGCTTACCTGACTGAAAATTGTGGTTATCTTAAGAAATAAGAGATCTTACAAACAAAACATCGGTCACAGCCTAGACGATCCCATCGACAACTACAGTGCACCATAAGAAATTATTCAATTTGAAGTACTTATATTTATATTACTTATGATCAGATATATATATTTAAATATCTTCTTATTTTGTGTGTACACAAACTATTTAAAACTTTATAGAGTCCAGAAACTTTCATAATAATAATGATTTTCATTTGAGACTCAAGTTCCGTGACGTCAGAAAAGCAAGTGACGTCACGCGTACGTCACCATGACATCATGGAAGGGTGGTGAACATACCATTCTCTTAAACAAATTATATACTCAATATTAACAATTGCTCTCACCTATAAATGTTTTATTTTAACTTATCAACATTTTAAATTAATAAATATGAATTTTATTGGCTAAAGGAAACTAGCAATCTCATGCAATGTATTGTGGTACGCATTGGCAATGTTGGTATTGTTGTACCTTCAACGCAGTTCAAAACCTTCCTTATCTGTTTCAAGAAATACGCCTACTTTGCACAACAATCTTTTTACCCACATTAATAGCCGCAATAATTGTCGATTTTACGATAATCAGTGATAAACTTGACAAAATGGCGGTGCCATGCGAAAAGATAAGCGACCCGACATTCCCTCTTGACAACTTGAGGACCGCTTCATTATCGTGGAAAATATTTCACTTATTATTAATTAATTACATACAGTCCAAGAGCACGATCTGGCGACGCCCTCTAACTACCCCCAACAGCCCACAATTGTACACTTACCATCACATCATCATCCTGCAGCAGAATATATTGTACAAAATTATAATTATATATTGCTTCCCGGCATCTTGGCTGAAACGTATCCCACAAGGACTGACTTTTTATGGTAGGCGGAGCGGCCAACACCTAGCCGCTTGTTCTAGCCCTGCCCAGCCATACATCCCAGGGCTGCTGCCCCAACACCTAGCCCTGCCCAGCCATACATCCCAGGGCTGCTGCCCCAACACCTAGCCCTGCCCAGCCATACATCCCAGGGCTGCTGCCCCAACACCTAGCCCTGCCCAGCCATACATCCCAGGGCTGCTGCCCCAACACCTAGCCCCTGGTGCTAGCCCTGCCCAGCCATACATCCCAGGGCTGCCCCAACACCTAGCTGCTTGTTCTAGCCCTGCCCAGCCATACATCCCAGGGCTGCTGCCCCAACACCTAGCCCTGCCCAGCCATACATCCCAGGGCTGCTGCCCCAACACCTAGCCCCTGGTGCTAGCCCTGCCCAGCCATACATCCCAGGGCTGCCCCAACACCTAGCTGCTTGTTCTAGCCCTGCCCAGCCATACATCCCAGGGCTGCTGCCCCAACACCTAGCCCTGCCCAGCCATACACCAGAAGGGTAATCGCCCCGCTGATGGGAGAAGCGTGAGTTTAGTCTTCATCTTTACAAGGCAGTTTCACCGGGTAAGCTAAACTGTCCATATATCAACCAGTCCTCTTACAAAGCATATCGCATTTCGATTGTATGCGTTCCATAAGGCCATAAGGTGTCGAACTAGAAAATGGGAGCGGCTCGCATATGTGACACACTGTCCCGTTTTCTGTTTTAGGTCCTCTGGTAGGTTAGGATAAGGACACTTTAAATTAGCCGTTTTCTTGAAGTTTGGTAAACCTTAGGAAGATTGGCTTCCATATATCATTGAAAATACATGCGCTTAGCGCGCGCTCTCGCTCTCGCTCTCTCTCTCTCTCTCTCTCTCTCTCTCTCTCTCTCTCTCTCTCTCTCTCTCTCTCTCTCTCTCTCCCTCCAGCATGTGGGTAACGGGAGGCCACTACTGGCAGCATGTAGAGGCAAGCAGTCCCCCGCGTGCCTCTACACTATCAGAGGAAGGCCCTGGGACCCGTCAGGCCATATGGCCCCTGCCTGCAGGTCAGGAACGAGGCCACACACACACGACCTGCACCAGGGACGACACACACACACACGCCCTGCACCAGGGACGACACACACACACACGCCCTGCACCAGGGACGACACACACACACACGCCCTGCACCAGGGACGACACACACACACACACACGCCCTGCACCAGGGACGACACACACACACACACGCCCTGCACCAGGGACGACACACACACACACACGCCCTGCACCAGGGACGACACACACACACACGCCCTGCACCAGGGACGACACACACACACACACGCCCTGCACCAGGGACGACACACACACACACACGCCCTGCACCAGGGACGACACACACACACACACGCCCTGCACCAGGGACGACACACACACACACACACGCCCTGCACCAGGGACGACACACACACACACACGCCCTGCACCAGGGACGACACACACACACACACGCCCTGCACCAGGGACGACACACACACACACACACGCCCTGCACCAGGGACGACACACACACACACACGCCCTGCACCAGGGACGACACACACACACACACACGCCCTGCACCAGGGACGACACACACACACACACACGCCCTGCACCAGGGACGACACACACACACACACGACCTGCACCAGGGACGACACACACACACACGCCCTGCACCACGGACGACACACACACACACACACGCCCTGCACCAGGGACGACACACACACACACACGCCCTGCACCAGGGACGACACACACACACACACGCCCTGCACCAGGGACGACACACACACACACACACGCCCTGCACCAGGGACGACACACACACACACACGCCCTGCACCAGGGACGACACACACACACACACGCCCTGCACCAGGGACGACACACACACACACACGCCCTGCACCAGGGACGACACATACACACACACGCCCTGCACCAGGGACACACACACACACGCCCTGCACCAGGGACGACACACACACACACACGCCCTGCACCAGGGACGACACACACACACACACGCCCTGCACCAGGGACGACACACACACACACACACGCCCTGCACCAGGGACGACACACACACACACACGCCCTGCACCAGGGACGACACACACACACACACGCCCTGCACCAGGGACGACACATACACACACACGCCCTGCACCAGGGACGACACACACACACGCCCTGCACCAGGGACGACACACACACACACACGCCCTGCACCAGGGACGACACACACACACGCCCTGCACCAGGGACGACACACACACACACACGCCCTGCACCAGGGACGACACACACACACACACACGCCCTGCACCAGGGACGGCACACACACACACACGCCCTGCACCAGGGACGACACACACACACACACACGCCCTGCACCAGGGACGACACACACACACACACACGACCTGCACCAGGGACGACACACACACACACACGCCCTGCACCAGGGACGACACACACACACACACGCCCTGCACCAGGGACGACACACACACACACACGCCCTGCACCAGGGACGACACACACACACGCCCTGCACCAGGGACGACACACACACACACACGCCCTGCACCAGGGACGACACACACACACACACGCCCTGCACCAGGGACGACACACACACACACACGCCCTGCACCAGGGACGACACACACACACACACGCCCTGCACCAGGGACGACACACACACACACATACGATTATCTAGCCTGCAGACACACACACACAAACGCCCTGCACCAGGGACGACACACACACACACACGCCCTGCACCAGGGACGACACACACACACACACGCCCTGCACCAGGGACGACACACACACACACACGCCCTGCACCAGGGACGACACACACACACACACGCCCTGCACCAGGGACGACACACACACACACACACGCCCTGCACCAGGGACGACACACACACACACGCCCTGCACCAGAGACGACACACACACACACACACGCCCTGCACCAGGGACGACACACACACACACGCCCTGCACCAGGGACGACACACACACACACACGCCCTGCACCAGGGACGACACACACACACACACACACGCCCTGCACCAGGGACGACACACACACACACACACGCCCTGCACCAGGGACGACACACACACACACACGCCCTGCACCAGGGACGACACACACACACACACACGGCCTGCACCAGGGACGACACACACACACACACACGCCCTGCACCAGGGACGACACACACACACACACGCCCTGCACCAGGGACGACACACACACACACACGCCCTGCACCAGGGACGACACACACACACACACACGCCCTGCACCAGGGACGACACACACACACACGCCCTGCACCAGGGACGACACACACACACACACACGCCCTGCACCAGGGACGACACACACACACACACACGCCCTGCACCAGTGACGACACACACACACACACGCCCTGCACCAGGGACGACACACACACACACACGCCCTGCACCAGGGACGACACACACACACACACGCCCTGCACCAGGGACGACACACACACACACACGCCCTGCACCAGGCACCACACACACACACACACACGCCCTGCACCAGGGACGACACACACACACACACACACACGCCCTGCACCAGGGACGACACACACACACACACACACGCCCTGCACCAGGGACGACACACACACACACACGCCCTGCACCAGGGACGACACACACACACACACACGCCCTGCACCAGGGACGACACACACACACACACACGCCCTGCACCAGGGACGACACACACACACACACGCCCTGCACCAGGGACGACACACACACACACACGCCCTGCACCAGGGACGACACACACACACACACGCCCTGCACCAGGGACGACACACACACACACACGCCCTGCACCAGGGACGACACACACACTCTCCGACCAGTCACTACGTCCTAGTCGGGTTCACC